CCAATTTCAAAAACACAGGTTATAACTTAAATCTGCCTTTAATTTTTGGCTTTAACTTTGTCGTCACCCCTCTAGCTACTAGTTAAGACTCAGTTTTCTTCTTACTAGATCACTTCTGTTCCCAAAATACTGCAAGAAATCTTAAAATGCACATGTTTTGCTGATGAGAAGCCAATGGTACCAAGTGGCTCCAATTCCTTCCTCGCATGGATTTCACTCCTTCAGCAAGGGGGAGGAAGGACTCTACCACCAGAACCAACTCCAGAGCTAAGGGACTGGGCATTTTCCCAGTTAATACTGTCTGTGAGAGCATTTGCTACATAGCAGAACGCACAATCTTGTAACTATATAAAACGTTAATTACCTGCTTGGTGACATTTGGGGGAAAAAAAAAAAAAATCAAGCCTGGATATTTTCAAAGTTATAAAGCCCTCGGGAAGCTCTGGCATTGCTGGGAGTGGGAGTCAAGATAATAACTCATGGCCACTGTTACACCGAATACAGTAAAATTCACCGTCTATTGATTGACAGAGGTCACACAACACTTGTCTAGCTCTAAAAAAAAGCATTGAGGAAAAAATGTTCTAGTCCTCATCGTTACCCCACAGAAAGCACACAGAACTGTTGCAGAGGAACGTCTACCATCTCTGGCTGAACGATACAGCGTGGTACCACCGCCTCGTCAGGCAGAAGTCAAGAGCCTCCGGGTCGGGGGGAAGGAAGCACGGCAAAGAGGGGCGCTGGCGGCAGGCTGGGCTGCGGGAGCGGGTAGAGGTGGGCTCCAGAGCTCAGACGGAGCGTCGATCAAACTGCATTAACTACAGGTCACGCTCACTGTCCGTCCTAGCATGACTTGACAGGATTAAAGACCTGAATAAAACATGTTTGCCATCTGGACAGCTCTAACAGTAGTGTCCTTAGAATATGCCTTCTCAACCATGGAATTACCAGAGCGTTTCAGCTGGAGGGTTTCGTGGTGTTTGCTGCAGAATTGATGCCCCAGGAACCAAGACTGCACTGTGCTCCCCGACCCCTAGTATGTAGGCTGGCAGATTAATTGGAAAGTATTTTAAAAAAGCTATGGAAGATTTGAAGACCAATGACTAAGATATCAAGAGTAACTATTTCACTTAGGTAAGGCCAGCTATTGTGCCAGCTATTACCTAGCCTGCCTCAGTTAACTCCCATCACAACACAAGAAAACCACCGCAAGTCTTAAAGCAGCGAACACACACACACACACAACACACTTTCATTCCTTCTAACGTTCATTTATGGAAGGCTGTAAGGTAAGGAGAACAGGAAAGACGATCGTTCTGGACACAGAGGATGACCCTTGGGAAGACAGCAAGGGTCTGTCTTTAGGGGACAACACAGACAACACAAACTTTTGATAACAAAATCGGAGGAAAGAGACCCTTCTCTTCGTATTCCCCTTAGCCAGGGGCAGAGCGTCTCAAGCTCGCACCACAGTAAGGCTCCCTTTAAGTAAGTGCTATCACCAGATTCGATAATGGTTCAGTGTTGCTTCGTGGCATGCCTCCACCTCCCTCCCTCCAACTTCAAGGCAATTGCTATAGGAGCCATGCATGCAAAGCAGGAACAGAAAAAAACACTGTCTGTTGGGCTGTCGTTTCGCATATAAATCTCAACAGCGTTGCAAAATTCAAACTGACAGCCTTTGTTTCAGCAGAGCAGAATTGGTACTAGGAAATGCACTCCAGATGCTCAGTGGCATTTGTCAGTATGACCTATTCCTAATTCAAAGCTTGCTAAAAAAAAAAAAAAAAAAAAAAAAAAACCACACTAAACTGAAGATTTCGCCATGGGAAAAAAACAGCACTAGACTGCACCAAGAGACAGAATAAGTATTCAGGGTCTTCAAAACGGTTACAAAGAAATACCTGGGAACAGCTCTCCACAGATCTATAAGCTGAAGAGCTAGCTCTCCAGGGTCTAGAGAAGGCAGAGCTGAAAGCAGCACCTGTATTACTGTAGCCTCCTCCTTGGATTTCCTGTTCATTATCTGCGCAAATGCCAGGCGTGGAGAAGCAAGAACAGGAGGAAGAACAGCTTGACCAGCCCAGGCCTCCCAGGCTGCCTGGTGCCAGCTGAGTTAAGAGGAAACGCAGAGAACCGCGGTGCCAGAAAGCTGAGCGGACCTCGTGGCAAACACAGGAGTCAGCCTTCTCCCGGCCGGGGGGTCACCCCACAGACCAGTGACCACGGCCATCTCGGACCCAAGGCTGAGAAGGCCTCATGGGAACGCGTGGCCGTGGCTGAAGGGGCCAACCGCGCGGGTCTCTCCTTTCGGTCCCTTTGCGTGGCCTCACCTCCTCTCTCCAACACCTTGCAGGGCAGGCCAGGCTCCGGACTTTTGCCGCGGACAGGACACGTGACACGAGTTAAATAACTAGCTGAGACAAAAACGCCACAGCTCTTCCCGTAGCTGGAACCTCTCTACGCTCCCAGCACCAGACAAGTTATAACACACACATATGCATGTGTGTTATACACATTATGAACATGCCTGTACGAACACGAGCCAACGGCGGCTGGCAGGCCGCTGGGGAAAACGCACCTTTCTGACAAGCAAGGATTCTGCACAGAGCGACGTCGCGTCAAAACGAGCGCGGGGATCACATGCCGCTGAGTTAAGAATTAAGCCGTTTTCGTGCTTAATTCCCTAAGAACCTCTGCTTCAGTTCACTTGAGGCTGCGCGAGACCCAAACCTGCAGGACCGGCGCGCGCCAGGCTGCCTCCAGCGCGAGCCTCTGCGCTCCCGGTAACCCTCCTTGCCCTTCCTGCTTCTGGCTGCCCTGGAGGCCAGCGAACAGGGACAACCGCGCATTGCCAGGATTTCCCCCAGAGAAACAAGCGGTCTGCTCTGCAACTCAGACTACCGGCTGGCCAGACGAACCGTTGCCTCGCAGGGTTAATTAACACTACTGAGCGAGAATCGTTAAGCAAACAAGCTTCCTGGAGGAGCTAGAGATTTTACAGCCTTTTGGCAAGTCTAAATATACGCAGCTTTTTAAAGCTCTGGCTGCGCAACAGCAAGTACAACAGTTAAATATTATAATTTAAATACAGGACGAACATCACAAACTTGGAGCGGATCTGGGACATCAGGAGCAGGAGGCGGGGGGGCTCGAAGCAGCGCTTGGGCTCGGAGGAGCCGGAGCCAAACTCTGCCGGGCCGGGCTGCGCGTGAACAGGAAGCACCGGGTCTCCCTGCCAAGAGCACATGACTGAGGCAGCGGGGAAGCATCCGACGCTCTCGCATCACCTGCCACGTACGTTTTCCAGCTGGCACTAGACGATCCTTGCCGTAACCCCTTTTCCTCCCCGCTCAGTCCCTCCGCACGTCTCCCTTGAAGGCCTGAGCCCCAGCCAGCCCCTCGCTTCTGAGCACACATCAGTTAAATTCCGGGTAGCACACTCTCCTCCACGCTCCGATCACTCCCTTGTCGTCTGGACCACTTTCTACCTCCTTCTGCCAGTGGGTACGTCCAGACTGGTATTCAAGGGAAGGAAAAGAAGTTCTCTGACTGCCTAGCTGCTTGCTGAGAAGCCCAGCGATAATCAGATCGCAAGGCACTGCTATAAAGTACCAGGCACTTTAATGACTACCATCTTTTTAGTACTTAGTTTTGCTGTTAGCTTCTAAAGCTAAACCTGGCCTGTCGCCCTCAGTTGAACACATTCCTTCAGATCAGAAGTTTGGAGGCTAAAACTGTGGGCTGTCGATCCTGCCTAACTCTAGAGCCAGTATTAGTATTTCATTACAACAGGGCGGTACATGAAACGCAGAGAATTTGTAAGTAGAAAGGCTGGACCATAGTTGATTCACGATCTCCACTGGGGAAGCTTTTCTGTCTGTCATCATATATGAAACTAATACAATTTGACTGCAAAGATTGCATTGTGCTCCAAACGGTCCTCAGAGATTACTTTTCTCCAAAGTCTCCCTTCAAGCAGGAAGCTTCTTTTTTGGTTAATACAGAAGCTGATTGAAGTTGACTAATGCTGTTAGCTATCTTTTGATCAGAATTGATTTGATAGAAATTGAAATAATCTACTGGAAGAGCACTGAAGCAATACTATAAAAATACACTCCAAGACTGGCTGACTTTTGCTTTCAGAAGTGGAAATGCTTTACATCGCACACATGTGGGTGGTGACAAATGCACAAAGTGAGGAACGTAGGAGCAGACCCTCATCAGTGACCACCTCCTCTGAAACACGCTACAGCAGACTTCAGTTCCCCCAGGAGCAACATTCCTAGAAGACATCCCAACAAGCTGCCCTTTATTGTCGCTTACAATTCCTAGTACCACGCCAGTGACAAGACAGAAGCATGCATATTGAGCTTGGACCCCTGTTTGAATTAAGGATGGTAAAGCTTCTTGCACACTAACACGGACAATAAAATATAAACCAACAATCTGTTCTTTCCCCCTCTGTCCAGCTGTAGTCGCCTTGTTTACATGCAAGCTCCTTAAAGCATTTCACTAGCATTTAGCAAGTCAAGTCCATTTCGGATCTTTTACCCAGAGCCAGGCTATCTGCTAGGAAGGTAGAACGGAGAATCTATGATCCGGCCAAGAGAAAACACCAGCTTTTACTACAAGTTTTGTATAAAGCACAGCTACATATAATTTGAATGTAGCCACCCCCAGAGGCCCTGTCACAAGCAACACAGAGCAGTGGATGCATCTAACAGGCATGCAGCTACAAGCACCCAGCTTCCTTTCACACAGGTGAGCAGTTCCAAGACCTTTGGGATGAAAATACCCCATTTCTTGCACAGCTCTGAATATCCACACCAAAACAAAATGACATTCATAACTTTGACTAGTTAACTGCAGATACTGTTTGAGAGCTACTGATCATGGCCCTGTCCAGAAGCAAAATAAGACGACGTGAGAACAAAGTGACGGAACTCATGAGCGCTTAGCTGAGTTCACTTGGAGAGAAACCGTCTCACAAACCTTACCTGTGCCAAGGATGTTCCACTTCCTTTTTTCAGCTCTGAGAAGTTCTCACTCAGTTTTCCTCCCTTGTTGCCTGAGTTGCACTTATAGCACGTCCATCTCATCAGGCCTTTGGTTACTAACCCACACTCTTTACTCAGCAGACACAGGGAATGGTACAAGTGGCCACAGCTGCAAAGACGAGAGAAGAATTCTGCTAGATGCTTGAAGGCAGGCTAATGCAGCCCACAGCATTACACTTCAGAAGGGAAATCTCTGGTCAGTGGAAAATAAGGCTGCTCATCTGTAACTACACATCAGCAGCGCGTACACTCCCGTCATACCTTCGCGCTCTCCGACAGTATTTCTAGACTTCCAAAAACAACAGCAGATGCCCAGCTGCTGACACAGCTACAGATCACAATACCAAGTAACAATGATCTCGTCCTCTTATTTTACAGCCACCTGCCCACAGATAGGAGTAGCAGAGATGTCAATAGGGTATGTAGCCAGGGCCGCAATAGACTTGAGAAGTACAAGTACAGTCAAATAACCCCAGGATGCTGAGATTGTCTATTGGGGCTTGATGGATATCTGCTATCCCAAACTTCACCAACCCAAAGCACTGTATTTGGGACAGACCGAACAGTGCGTCAGCTGGCAGCAAGACAAAGTGCTTCTACTTGTACTTGCTGCATCCAGTTTCCAGCCCATTTAAGCTTCACGAAGCTCCATAAAGAGCTTCCATTGTTCCAGACTTGCAGTGTCGTTTAGCAAGGGCGCTTAGGCAGCTAAGGGCATCAGTTAGGACTATGCTGTCCAATTCCACCAGGGAATCACCTTCTGCTAATTCAGGCATTGCTGGGAAAGATGACAGACAAACTGAGAGCTTACTGAACTGCTCTCTCAAAATTGCCAGACAACCCTTTTCTGCTGAGACAGAGCTGGCTGCATGCAAAGAAAGCCAGCTCCTATCAGTTTGATTAGCCAGTCCATTTATACTGCAAAGCA